GATACACTCAGGGAACTCAGTGACTCTATAAAATGTAATAACATTTTTATTACAGGAGGCCCAGAAGGAGGAGAGGAAAAGGGGCAGAACATTCATTTGAAGAAATAATAGCTGAAAATTTCCTTACCCTGATGAAAGAAACAGGTAGCCAGATTGAGAAGGCACAGAGGTCTCCCATCAAAATCAACAGAAATAGGCCAACACCAAGAAATACTGTAATTAAATTTGCAAAATATAGACAAAATCTTAAAAGCAGCAAAAGAAGCCCTTAACTTACAAGGGAAAACCCATAAGGCTAACTGGAAATTTTTTTAACAGAAACTTGGCAAGCTAGAAGGCAGTGACACGATACATTCAAAGTGGTTAATGGGAATTATCTGTGGCCACAAATACACTATCCAGCAAAGCTATCCCTCAGAATAGGAGAGAGAAAGAGTTCCCCAGACAAATGAAACTAAAGGAATTTGTGACCACTACCCCAGCCTTGCAAGAAATAGTAAAGGAGATGTTTTGAGTATAAAAGAGTGACAGTTTAAAGGCAGGACACAAAAGCAGTAAAATGAATATTACTGTAAAAATCTGTCATGGAACTCACAAAAAAGGTATAAAATATATACGTAAAATGTGGGGAGAAGAGGAGAAAGCAATGGATTCACACTTGAGTGACATTAAACTTAATATACACTGTTATTTGCAGAAAAAGTTATATGTAAATCTACTGTTAACTGTATGTCAAAACCACTAATAAACATGAAAGAATAAAAAGAAAGAAATTCAAATATATCACTAAAGAAAATCAGCAAAACATAAAAGAGGAAAAAAACAAAGAAAAAACCCCCATTAGAACAAATCAATGAAACCAGGAGTTGGTTCTCTGAAAAAAGTCAATAAAATTAATAAAGCTCTAACCAGACTTATCAAAAAGAAAAAATACCAAAATAAAATAAAATCATGAATGAGAGAGGAGAAATAACAACATCACAGAAATAGAAGCAATTATAAGAGAAAATTATGAAATATGAAAAACTAAGTTGCCCAACCTGGAAGAAATGGTTAAATTCCTAGAAACTGCCAAAACTGAAACAGGAACAAACAGAAAACTCAAACAGACTGATAACCAGGATAGAAATTAAATCAGTAGTAAAAAAACTCCCAACAAGCAACAGTGCAGGGCCAGATGGGTTCCTAGGTGAATTCTACTAAACATTTAAAGAAGAGTTAATACCTACTCTTCTCAAACTTTTTCAAAGAATAGGAAAAAAAAGGAAAACTTCCAAATTAATTCTAAGCCCAGCTTTACCCTAATACCAAAACCACATAAATATACCACTAAAACAGAGTACTATAGGGCAGTATCTCTGATGAAAATAGATGCAAACATTCTCGATAAAATGCTAGCAAACCGTATCTAACAATACATTAAAAAATCATTCACCAAGATGAACTGGGATTTATTGCTGGGTTGCAAGGCTGGTTCACTATTCACAAATGAATCAACGTGATACACCACATAATAAAAGAAAGAATAGGAACCAAATGATTGCTGGAGTCCAACTCCAGCCTGTCCAGGGGTCCCTGAAGGATGGACGATGTCGGTGAGAGTGAGAGAGCCCTGAGAATCTTTCTGGTCACCAGGCAGGCATCTCTGCTCTGACTGAGACTCAACTTTATTTTATAATTAAGTGCTTGGGGGACAGCACAGAAGTGGCATTTGCTTAGACAATGATTTCTGATGACCACTTTCTTTGATATGTAAGAATTTCCCAGAACATGGATTTGTAGAAGATTCATGCTGATAACTTTTATCAGTAGTGATTGAGGTAGGTGATTTAGTGCTTATCCTATGGGGAAGGAAGGTATCTTTAGCATTCAAATACAAGACAATGTTTTTAGTATAGCAAAGGCAACTTGTGAGCAGGGGTCAATAGCCTGTTTGCTTAAGGAGAAGTATTAAGAAAAACAGGTTTTTCAGGAAACACAAATGTTTGCTCCCATAATCACAAAAGAATAAGTTCCTACAATAAGTTCCTTCACAAGAGGCAGTCAGCATATCAAGACCAGACTAAGTCACTCTGAATACCGATTAACAAGGTGCTTTGGGGTTGAGTGCTCAAGCAGAAACAATTAAGTGGAGGTGGGTATCAGTCATCATCTGATTTAAGAGCCTTGCAAACTTGCTATAACCTCACAAGGAGTTTTCTCAACTAGTGAGTTCAGAATGGCTCCCAACATATGATCATTTCAGTAATGCAAAAAAAAAAAAAAAAAGCATTTGACAAAGTGCAACATCCATTCATGGTAAAAAGCCTCAACAAAGTAGGTTTAGACAGCATAGTAAAGTCCATACATCATCAGGCCCCATTTCCTTAATTCAGAGCCTCATCGCTGATTTTTTTCCTTTTTAAAAAATATATTTATTGTTCTAAGCTTATTTTACTAAAGTGAAAAACATACAAATGAAATATAAGACAGATATAAGCTAGATATACCAACAACCACCTGCATGAGATATCCTCTCTCCCATTTCTTCTCACAGCATTATCTAGAATTTAGTGTCCAACAGTTCTATATTTTCCTTATAGTTTATCATCTCTATTATATCTACATATATTAAGATATCTGCTGTATTTTAAATACTTCAGTATAAAATAATCTGGTTTTTTTTTTAATTGACTTTTATTTAATTTCATTAGGTCAGAGACTTTCCTGGTATGATACAATTTTTTGAAATCATTTCCATTATTTGTACCATAGGAGCATAAAGTTGGGTTAATCATATTTCTCAATTGATGCAATATTATCATTATGGGTCTTTGCAGTCTTCTTTCTACTTTTTTATTTGATAGAATGCTTTGTGTGCATATATTTCAAAAATATATTTAATACATTGTACATCTCAACACTGGTTTCTCTTCAAGCATTATGTATTTTTTAAAAATCCATTCAGATAATTCTTTGCACATTAATTCATTGCTTATAATTGCTTTTGTAATAATACCCCATGGTGAACATTCACTGCAATTTGTGTGTCCCCTTAGAAATGGACATGTGGTTTATCTCCAGACCCCTGTTATTACAGAGAATGCTGCGTAAAAATTCAGTATGTGCCACCTTAATGTTAGTTTTATCATTTTTGGGTGTTCTCAGGAAAAGAATCATTGAATCATAATATACATCTGACAGATCAGAATGCTTCTCCTGTTAATTCTTTCTGCATATTGCTCTGCCCACTGCTGTGTGACATGTGGTACCTTCCAGTTTGAGGTGCATCATTTGAATTCCATGATCAAGAAAGAGTGAGCAAAAATGCCAAATTCCCTTTCAGAGTGGAAGCTCTAAGAGCCTTTATGTGTTCCTCCCATCCACCTTGTTTTCTTACCCTCTACCATGAAAATGCCTATATGGCCTCCTACCTCACCAAGGTCCCAGAATGAAGACACTTAGACCTGTAATGTTAGCAAGAAGTAAAGTTTTGTTATTGTGAGCACTGAAAGTTTCAAATAATTTTTTTTTTTTTTTTATTTGAAAATGTGAGGTGGTGCCTGGGTGGCTCAGTTAGTTAAGCATCTGACTCTTGATCTCAGCTCTGGTCTTTATCTCAGGGTTGTGAGTTCAAGACCTGCATTGGGCTCTGTGCTGGGTGTGAAGCATACTTTCAAAAATGAGATTTAGCGTTTTGTTGAGTAATAATAGAATTGCTAAAAGTTAATGTTTTTTAATGCACATTTTATATTCATCAAACTAAATTCTAATGAGTAATATGGTGATCTTTTAGCTCATAACACTATTTGACATTGAAAATAATTGAAAATAATAACTCGACAAAATGGATTCTAGTGCAGGGTCTCCATGAATTCACATTTGTAGATTTGGTATTGAAGAATAGAGTAATGCAAAATTATGAAATATTTTTTTGTGATTATAAAAAGTCAGATGAAGCCAGTGTGTGAACTACAAAGTTACTTTGCCTATCTTGTTTACTTTCAGTAATGTTAGCAAGTAATGATGGTATGTTTTATATAACATTTATGTTTGCCTGCAGAAAATACTAAGATAATTCTTTAGTTAGCTTAACAGATGTATTCTAGAAAAAAAGTATTATTTATATGATTTAACAGGTGAAAAAGCCATAGCAGAATTGGGAAAAGAAAACATTGATGACAAGCTACAGATGTTATTTCAAGGACAATATTGGAATGGTTATTTCAAAGGATACCATCCTGTTAAGAGCTGAACCCTGAGTTCTTCTACTTTCCTAAGATCGCTTTGAAATGGAAATGATAAGAACCTTTAATGTCTTGCCCAAATAGGAAGGTGTGCAGAAATCAGTTATGCTTGGCAAGAGATAAGAGGCATTACAAATAAAGTTGGGATAAGCAAGTATAACATGCAGAGTCCCAACAGAATAATGAAAAGATAGTATGGCCTGCGATTTCAAATGGAGATATGGAAGTAGTTATATATTATCTTCTTATAGTGGCTACATAAATATTTATTCTGTGAGTAGGCATATGGTGTCAACCCTGGATCAGAATTGATATGCATGCTCTTATTTCCCTCTAGAAGTAGTCCCAAAGATTTTCTACATGATATTGTTTCCACTATTAAAACTGAAATATAAATTATTTTAATATTATACAGCCTTGGTTATATCCTGTATTACACCTATCTGTGTAGGAATAAAGTAGGATGAAACTGGAAGGTTATACTCAAATTTTAGTATTTGAACTGTAAGTGTCAGAAATAAAGAAAACAATGTACTTTAAGTTGTACTCAGGAAAATTTCATAGATGCAGCAAATAAAGCTATGCTACTGAGTGCATCATCTTGAACTCATTCTACACAAACACTGAACTCCAGAAAAGCTTGATCTATCTTCTTTCTTTTGTTTTTGTTTTTGTTTTTGTTTTTTTTTCCCCTATCTTCTGTTTACCAGAGAGCTTGTACAGGAGACTTCCTACAATATTGATTCTTGTTATCTTTCTTTCATTGTTATCTAGAGGGAGCACTTTTTAAAAGAGTAAATGGAGTAGCCACTAAGTATCAATGAAGAAAGTGATGCGTCAGCATTGGACAGCTGAGACCAGCAGGGTGCTTCTGCTGAATACAGATCATCGATTTCCTCTTCCTCAGAAAGATATTCCTCCATTTACTCTCTCAAAACCCTTGCTTCCAGTCTATGTAGCTACATGCTGTGTGTGAAGTCAAATCACACTGCTATAATAGAGGTGTCTGTGATTGTTCCTGATTCAGACAAGACTTTCAGAAGACAAATACTCCAGTCTTCATTAGATTACAGAAATACATAAATAAACCAACAAAGCCATAGACCTTAGTTCACATAAATTGATAAGAATAAATTATTTAACCCATAATAGCTTTCTTCTGTGTGTAAGTTTTTCCTCTCGAATATATAGTGCACATATTTAGCTACTGACTGTAAATAACCTTAAAAGACAACCTTAAAAAACAACCTTAAAAAAATTCCTACTGAGAAAAAATTAAGGGATCTTTAACAACTGCCATCTAACAACATCTGTAAAATAATTAACTTTTAACTATACTTTAGCTTACTAAACCAGTTCATTGAAATTAAGATGTTTGTAAACTGAAGCTTAGTTCATCAGTCAGAATTCTATTGGAATTTTTTGAATCTACATTTTACATTTTTCAAGAATGTAGGCTTGAACATGCATAAGCAAGTGCCTGTAATAAACGTATTTAACTTACATTTTAGAAGAAAAATAAGTCTCTTACATAGCTGTGATTCAGTGTTTTATTGTTTCTAAGTCATTGTGATAATTCTAATTTAATTTTAGGTCACATGATTAAAAGATGTATTTTTAAACTCCAGCTGTAAGTATTTCTCTTTTTCTGAAAAAAATCTTCAAATAATGTTTTCTTTTAATTTGGAACATGTCATTTTTCTAAATCTTAAAAAATATGAGATACAAGTTCAAGAATGTAAAATTAAGAATACTGGAGTAACTGATAATGTAGATACTTAAGGGAATGTGAAACAAAGCTTTCAGAGAAGATCCCAGATAAAGATAACAATAAATTCATTGCAGAGTCTGCTAGATATTTTTATTTGTTTTTGTTTTTAATAGCCCAGACAACTTTTTCTCCTAACTTTACTAATATGGTGGCAAATAGTTGTCTTTGCTGGGACTTTGCCTATCCCAACCTAGGTTTATATTGTCACCTATACTTAGAAATGGCCACTTTTTTTTCTCTCTGTGTGGCAAAACTCTATTAGTCTGAAATTTCATCAGAGGTGAGGTATAAAGCCAGCACGCCATGTTTATCTAAGTGAAAACTACTGGGTACAGCAGGGATGTTGAATTAAGACATCATAAAATGTTTAAGAAGGCATGATTGTTAGGTGGTTATACTGGCTATTCAGAAAAATCTCACAAATTACAGATTTATGATTATAAATAAGGAAGATATGATACAAATTGATAATTAGATAAGGACCATTAAAATCATAAAGAGAGCCTATTACAGCTATATTTATATTTATATTCTATATCCATTATCTGTTTAATATAACTGGTAATAAAAAATCAAAACTCTATTCATTAAATCGGTGAAATTCAGTACTCTTACCTAATAGATCGTAATATAAATGAAAGAAATAACATAAGTGAAATAAATATTCCTCTCTCTCTCTCTCTCTATATATATATATATAGCATATACATAAGCATATAAATATAATATACATATGTATTATATATAATATATAAAACATTTGACCATTAAAATAATTATTTTCAAGATAACAACTATATGTTTTATCTGGATCTTTATTCCTCTCAGGTTGTACACTAAGTAACTAGGGAATGTAATTAAATCTTTCTGGCTATTTGAATACACTATGGTTAAAAAAATACAGTATGGTGAGTTATTACTACAATAAATATTTTGAGGACCTAGAAAATACAGTCTTCCTGCAAGTATCAGAATTTCAAGAAAGTTTTTTATTTACTGTTCATTTAGAAAAAGTGACAATTTATCCTGACTGTCTTTTTGTATTCATAGGAAGGAAGGCAGTTTGGTTAACATGCATATGGCTGAATGGTCACAAGAACAAATTGAGACACATTTTCCTTAGATATTTTTGTAAATTATTTTGTACTATGAGGTCAACAGTATCATGGTTTCTCAGGGATATGATCTGTTCACTTTTATTAAAATGCAAGAAACTGTGAATATACTATATACTTAGAAAATATTCAAATACTCCATTTGTTTCTCTCCGATGCAACTCAGGTGTCCTTCTGTATTTTTGCTGTTCCCAAACTTTAATGTGATAACACACCACCTGAGGATCTTACTAAAGTGCAGATCTGGTTCAGTAGAAACAGGTTGGAACTCAAGACTGGATTTCTAGCAAATTCCTAGGTAATGCTTATGCTGTTGTTTCCTTGAAACACATTTTGGTAGCTTTTAAGTAATACTGTTGCTTCTGGTTTCTTAAACCACACAAAATATATGACATTCATATATTTTTAAATGAAAGGTTAAATTTAACGCCTCTCACATTCCACTTGATTATAATCTGGAGTATAGGAGATTGGTTTTATGGTCATCTGTGTTCATAAAGGCTTAGAGTTAATACCCTATTTGATTTTAAAGAATTAACCAAATTAGAGCCTAAGATTTCAGATATTTTCATCAATTTTTCTCTATTAGTTGCCTTTGTCATTGACTATTGATTTGACATACAATGGACTCTACTGACGGATTCGTAGCTCACTGACAGAGTCCAAGAAAATGGCTGGATCTTTATACAAATTAAACAAGAAATAGAAACAAGAGATATAGAAGCAAATTTCTCTTTTGGAAGTTTTGGAAAACCAGAATACTTGTGGTCAAATCTGTATGACCAAAGGATGCTTAACAAATTCAGCTTCCAGGCTGAAGGTTAGCACCCAAATATGTAAAGCATCTGTGTTGAGAATGGTAACAAAAAGTGTGATGGTTTGTGTGTGTCTTTGTGTGCATAGGTGTGCATGTATAAAGTGTGGGTGAGATCCAGAAAGACAAGGAGATAAGACAAAAGAGAGCAGAAATAAATCAACAGAAAAGTGCAACTCTAAATTAACTTAAGCACTAATGTCTGGAATTCATATCTGCCCCATCTTGTTCTCCAAGACCAAAATCTATTGCATCCCTGCTGCCTGCATTTTCTAAGTGGGTAGAGAATCACCTGGAGCATCTATATAATAGCGGAAATTTATTTCTTACCTGAAGGTCAACAAGTGCTAAAGAGATATCCTTGATGGTGTCATTGTCAGATTTGTTAGACTCCACCCACATCAAGTCCTTAGTGTGTGTGTGTGTAAAGATTTCCATCAGAATTCCCATTTAGAGACAACCTTTAAAAATAATTACATATAGTACTAGTATGGCTTTCTTTTTTTTTCCACATCACACCCCAAAGACACAGTGATGCAAAGCAAGACGTTCCACTAGACACTTTAATAACCCTGAGAAAACACGTGTTAGTTACCCAGTTCCTTCCTGCATTGCATTATTTCACTTGTGCAAAAGTCAATGGTAGACAACAGTGCTCCAGACTAGCTTGATTGTGTTCCACTTAAAATCCATTTTGTAACATCCTTATTCAAGAGGAGGAATAAAGAAGTGGGGGAGGGGTGAGCTTTTGTGTTGTCCTCATAACACTATCCTCTCCCTGGCTCTCATGTTGCTATTAGCAGGAAAGGAGGGATTCACAGCCTTTTCCTTGTTCCTGGAAATTTTCCTCTTCCCTGTCAACCCACTCCAATACTCAAGGTCTCAACAAAACAATTTCAAGAGACCAGGGATCATCTCACCATGCCTTTTTGCGTATTTATATCAATAACCACAAAACTCCAAATACCAGGCTTTCTCTAAAATCTCATTTCCTCATGCCCTTACAGATGCCATCCGGCATTGCATGAGCAGACTCTTATTCCATCTCTCTCTCCAAAGAAGGAAACTTTCCCTGTGAACTTTCTGGAACTCACATGTCATCATTGATAATAATATTGATATTATTCCTTCCATATTCTTGCGTAAATGAAACCTGCCATTTCTCTAAGGCTGTTGCTTCTGCGCCTGCAGTTATCTGTGGCTGTTCCTTTCAAGTTCTCTGTAAAACACTGGGTTTGGAGGGGAATAGGTTTATTATTTGCTCTTCGTTACAACTTATATCTTATAGCCTTTCTCTCCCACCTAAAATCACCAGATTTCAAGCGCATGTCACTAGATGATATTCCCACTTTACCTCTTCAGATCATGAATTCATACTTCCTGTGCCATGTCTTAACATACCTTGACTATATTAGCATGGGATTATCACTTTTTTTTTTTTTTTTTACACTAGTCCTCTTTTGAAAGTTGTGATTTCCAATGGTTAAAAAATGTTAAAGGGTCACCTGGGTGGCTCAGTAGGTTTAGCATCCAGTTGTTTATTTCAGCTCAGGTCATGATCCCAGGGTCTTGGGATCAAGCCCCAAGTCAGCTCCATGCTGACCATAGAGGCTGCTTGGGATACTTTCTCTCTCTCTCTGTGCCCTTCTCCACTGCTTGCATGCTCTCTTTCCCACTTTCTCTCTCTCTGAAAGAAAATAAAAATAAAATATTATTAAAAAGGGGAAAATGCCCTGTTTGTATCTAGAAAACTTAAAGCTCTCTATCATGTCAATAAGATAAATAAATTTTAAAAATAATGCAAACAGAAGGTATTTAATTGGTCTAAAATATCTAAATATTATCAATCACTTCATTACTAATCACGAGAATGCAAAAAGCCACAAAGCGTACATTCCCAAAAAATACGCAAACTTCTTTACAAAAAGATAGAAACTAGCATGTTACATCATACCAAGTGATGGTCAGAGTGCCAAGAAAAGAAAACACTGCTGGTGACAGTGTGTTTCAAAGTATTTATATTTTGTACTTTTCAATAAAAATGAATATACAGGTAGTCAGTGGCTCGTAGAATATGTTTCTTTGTATTTAACCTGCAGATATGTATAACTACATTGTAATTGTGAGAACTAGAAAATAAGTAAATATTCATCAGCATATAAATGAGGTACATTTAGACAGTGGAATCTTCTATGTTAATGAAAATGTATGATCTTTCTACATGCAAGAATAAGTATATTTTTTGATGTTTATGTATTTTTCAGAGAGAGAGGGCAAGGAGGGGAGAGGCGTAGAAAGAGGAAGACACAGAATCCAAAGCAGTCTTCCGGCTCTGAGCTGTCAGCACAGAGCCCAGTGCAGGGCTCAAACCCATGAACCATGAGATCATGATCTGAGTCAAAGTCAGACACTTAATTGACTGAGCCATCC